GGACTACCGGTTTGATAATACTTTTAATTACATCATTTTCCAGGTGTGTCTCTGACCGGAATGTATGAACACGACCGATTCAACAACAACAACACAAGTGAACACAAGGTGAGTAATAACCTAAACTGACATGGAAACCACGAAGACAAGATCCAACAAAACAAACAAAAACAAAAAACAGCATACAGTATCATAAAAACATCATCAACTGAAATCACCAGCAGATAAAGATACTCAACTCTGGCGCAACTTAAAAAGATTAATCTTGAAGTAGACTAAATGATGCTGTCGTGGAAAAAAGGAGATTCCCAGAACAGGCCAAGGTGCATTTCATCAGCTTTATTTTCAAGCAGCTCAGCAATTTCACAGAACATGCAAAATGCAAGATTGCACTGTTATCAGTGCTCTCATCCATGTGAAACCATGTGACCTGCTCTAAAATCTGGACCAGAAAAATAGGCCTGTCACGATAACAAATTTTGCTGGGCAATTAATTGTCTCAGATTATCGCGATAAACGATAATATTGTTTGAAATTTAAGAAGAAATGTTGGTTAATTTGTTTTGCGTGTAGTACATTTTTTGACCACTGGATGGCAGTAAAAACAGTTTGAACCGAAGGATGGATAGTGAGGGAGCAAGCAGCGTGTCTCTAAGAAAAATGGGAGGGAGGCCTCTCGACGTGACATGGGTTGTCTCCTTCCTTTATTTGGGTCTCAAAATGGCGGACGCGCCGTGTGGTTTGAGCTCTTTAATATAGCATCTTTCACATAAAGCTTTTAATAAAAAATTTAAAAAAATCAGTAAACAAGTTCTCAGCTTATCCTGATGCATGCTCAATAATCCAGGTAGAAAAATCCAAAAAAGTTCAATCTGGTCCTCTGGACATTCAAAAAAACAAAAAACAAAGCAAAGCAAAAAAATCTAGAAACGTTTCGTCTCTCGTCCGAGAGACTTCTTCAGTCTGAGGTGCTGTTTTCAGCTCAGTCTCTTAAATAGCACCTTCTCAGAGTGGATCAACCAGTTT